GGGAACCTGTCTGAATACAACAGCAGAAAATCCATTCCCTACCACTCAATACACAACTCCAAGTTAAAGTCCCACCATGGATTTTAAGATGTGAAAATCTGGTTGCAACTTCTAATGCCCCAGGTTTTCCGAATCTTTTGCCAGGTATCTCCTTCTGCTTTTCTCTTTACCCCACACATAGCTTTTTTAGTAGAAAGATGGTCTATTTGCCCACTCAGCTTCCATCCTCCCTGCTTAAAATAGTAACATGCTACTTCCATTTTCTCTTAGAAAACTACTTTTGAATTCTCAGACTCTGTTGTGATTGGAGCAGAAAAACACTACTCTGTCTAGCTCAGACTAATTAGCATGTACATTTCTTTAGGTCACAGTGATTAGTTCAAAGGTGAGCATGTGATCTTGTCAGTCTAATGAGAGTGAATTATGAGATTTTTGATAGAGCTCATGGAAAGAAATTGTTACTCTGTATTTTTGAACTAGTATACTGTATCAGTCCATTTTTGCACTGTTATAAGGAACTACCTGAGACTGGGTAATTTATAAAGAAAAGAGGTTTAATTGACCCAGAGTTCTGCATGGCTAGGGAGGCCTCAGGAAATTTACAGTCATAGCGGAAGGTGAAATGGAAAAAATGCACATCTTACATGGCGGCAGGAGAGAAGCTGGGGATGGGGGGGGAACCGCCACATACTTTTAAACCGTCAGATCTCATGAAAACTCATTCATTATCACCTCCTGTGCTAAACTATTTGAATACTTTGGTTTGCTAAATCCCTCCCAAAAACATTTGCATGTGACAGGGGAAGAGTTAAAACTAAGAGAGTTTGGCTGGCTAAAGTCCTACAGCTACAGGACTCCAGCTCAGATATTACCTCAAAGCCAGTCCTCACCACCAAAGCCTTCATGTGTTTGATTAACTCTTTATAATAGTTGGCAAACTCTCATGTAGGACATTCTGTGAGCCAGGAACTGTTGTAAACACTTAACACATAAACTCATTTTATCCTCTCGAAAACCCTAGTAAGCATAATTACCCCATCTGATAGATGATAAAACAGAAATATCAACTGATGAATTAAGTTTCCTGAGATTACACATGTAGTCCATACATGAGCTAGTCTTTGAACCCAGATCATCTGACTCCACAGCTTAAATTCTGAGATAATTCAATAAACTTTCTCTCTTGGATTTTCCAGATGAATTAACATGGTTCAATAGCAATTTCTTTAGGCATAAAAAGCTGCACTTAAGCCTTGAGATTATCTGATGGATGAAACAACTCATCTTCAAATTTCTGTTCCAGATTCCCTTAACTGACATCTAGTGTAGCAGATACCATTTGCATTTTTAGCATTCAGTTCACTTTCTTCCTTTCTAAAAATGAGATGCATCGGTCATGCATCCTGATTTTGTTCTTGTCTTCTCCTTACCTCTTTGTAGAGTGACAACCAGAAATCAGAGACTTCTCGAGGCCAAGGAAATTTCTGTATTCTTTCAAGATGAGTATCTCATAATCTCACCGATGTGATTTTGATATACTCTCAAAGAGATACATAAATCAAGGGATGTATTTAAAAAGAGGTGATACTCACCTGGCCTAGATATTTCTTCCTGGTTTTGTGCCACCAGACAATTTCTGAGAGAGATGCCCTGAGCAGGAACAGCCGACGAACCCTAGACTCCAACCCTACTGGTGAGCTAGCAGAAAAGGAGAGAGAGGAGTTGTGGTTTCTCCTGAATGGCATAGATATTTACAAATTGTTCTAGGAAAGTCTTTCTGCCAGACATCTTCTCCTTTATGATGTTTTCTTGTTCATTGTTCTCAAGCATTACAAATGACACGACTCAAATCTAACATTTATTGTTAACCATGTACCAGTGTGTTTTATTTCTTTTTAGCAACCTATTAAGTGGGAGGCACAGTCTTAACCTGAATGATCTGAGAAAACACACACCTTTTCTTTCCATGGGCCACTTGTGTTAGCAACGATAGGCTATTATGTGGAGTAGTGAGCATTGCCAATGTCGGTAGTGTGACACAGTAAAAGTCTGTTTCTTGCATTTTTAAAGTTCACTTCAGGTCCAGGTTACTCTATAGGACAGCTCTCTTCCATTGGGAGCTCAGTGTTCCAGATGGTTTCAAAGTTGAGACACTTCTATATCTACCCATGCATTGTTTTTTTCTATTACCATGGCAGAGGAGGAGAACATGGACAATCTCTTACCCCTCAAATCAGACACGTAACTTGTGCTTACATCTCCTTGGCCATAACTAGTCACATGGTCCTTCTTAATGCAAGGGGACACCAAGGAAGTGTCATTCTTCATTTATCCAAAAATAGAGGAGAAGAAGATATTGGTGAATAATACTGATGTTTACTATCTGCCAACTTAGAAAGAACCTGGAAGGGCAAATAATTACTATTCCTTTGACTTTAGATCACAAAACATCCAAATAATCCTGCAAAGTCTAGATGGCTAACACATAAGAAATTTCAAAACCTCCCTTAGTAGTTATTACAAGATTTTTAAATACTATAATTTATCGAGGTTAAATTCATAGAACATAAAATTAACTATTTTAAAGAGACCATTAAGCAACATTTATTACATTCACAATGTTGTGCACCTTTATCTAGTTCCAAAATATTTCCATCACTCCAAAGTAAAACATATTAAGCAATTACTGTTTATTTTGCACTCTCTTTATCCTCTGACTGTCATCAATCTGTGTTCTGTCTATATATTTAACTATTCTGGATGTTTTATGTATTGGGTAGGTGTAAAAGAAACCACAATTACTTTTGCACCAACATTATACACACACACACACACACACACACACACATATATATATATATATATAGAATAGAATCATATAGTTGATGACCTTTTGTGTCTAGCTTCTTTCATTTAGTGTGTTTTAGAGGTTCATCCATGTTGTTTCATGTGCTATTACTCGATATGGCTTGGATTTGTGTCCCCACCCAAATCTCATGTCAAATTGCAATCCCCAGTGTTGGAGGAGGGACCTGGTGGGAGGTGACTGGCTCATGGGAGTGGATATCCCCCTTGCTGTGCTCCTGATAATGAGTGAGTTCTCAGGAGATCTGCTCTGTGTGTGTGTATCACCTCCTCCTTCTTTCTCTTTCTCCTGCTCGGGGCATGTAAGACATGCCTGATTATAAGTTTCCTGAGGCCTCCTCAGCTGTGCTTCCTGTACAGCCTACAGAACCCTGAGCCAATTAAACGTCTTTTCTTTATAAGTTACCCAGTTTTGGGTGTTTCTTTATAGCAGTATGAGAATGAACTAATACAGTACTTTATTTCTTTTTATGGCAGAGTAATGCATTTATTACAATTAGTTTATCCATTTATTCACTGAGGGACATTTAGGCTGTTCCACCCTTTGGCTACTGTGAATAGTGTTGCTATGAATATGTGTGTACACGAATGTGTTTGAATTCTGTTTTCAGTTCTTTGGGGTATGCATATAGGAGTGAAATCCTAGGGTCGTATGTTAATTTTATATTTAACATTTTAGAATCTAACAAACCATCACAGCTATATTTGTAAAATGAACCATTTTACATTCCTACAGTAATGTACAAGAATACTCCTTTCTCTACATCCCCACCAACACTGGTGGAGACTCTTTTTTTATTACAGCCATCTTAGTGGATGTGAAGTAGTATCTCATTGTGACATTGATTTACATTGCCCTAATGGCAAATATGTTGAGCATATTTTCATGTACTTGTTGGCAATTTATGTATCTCCTTTCAGAAAATGTCTATTAAAGTCCTTTGCCCATTTTCTATTGCTTTGTCTTTTTGTTGTTGAGTCATAAATATTTTTAATAACTTCTGGATACTTGATTCTTATAAGATATGTGATTTGGAAATATTTTTTCCTATTCTGTGAATTTGCTTTCTGTTTTCATGGTGATGTCCTTTGATGCACAAAAGTTTTGAATTTTGGCCAGATGTGGTGGCTCACATCTGTCATCCCTGCAGGAGTGTTACTTGAACACAGGAGGTTAAGACCAACATGAGCAACTTAGCGAGACCTTGTCTCTACAAAAAAAAAAAGAAAGAAAGAAAAAAGAGTAGCCAGGTGTGGTGTGTGGTGGCACACACCTGTAGTCCCAGCTACTTGGGAGGCTGAGGTGGGAGAATCACTTGAGCCCAGGAGGTTGAGGCTGCAAGTGAGCTATGATAGCGCCACTGCACTCTAGCCTGGGTGACAGAGGAAGGCCCTGTCTCAAAAAAGAAAAAGTTTGAATTGTGATGAAGTTTAGTTTATCTGTCCTGTCTTGTGTTGCTTATGCTCTTGGTGTCATATATAACAATCAATGGAGAAATCCAAGGTGATGATGATTTAACCCTGTTTTCTTCTCAGAGTTTTATGGTTTTACCTTTTGTATTTAAGTTATTCATTTTGAGTGAAGTTTTGTATACAGTTTGAGGTAGGACTCCAAGTTTATTTTTTTACCTATGGGTATGTTGTCCCGGTTGTCCCAGCACTTCTTTTTTTTCTTTTTTTTTTTGAGACGGAGTTTCACTCTTGTTACCCAGGCTGGAGTGCAATGGCGCGATCTCGGCTCACCGCAACCTCCGCCTCCCGGGTTCAGGCAATTCTCCTGTCTCAGCCTCCTGAGTAGCTGGGATTACAGGCACGCACGACCACGCCCAGCTAATTTTTTGTATTTTTAGTAGAGACGGGGTTTCACTGTGTTGACCAGGATGGTCTCGATCTCTTGACCTCGTGATCCACCCGCCTCGGCCTCCCAAAGTGCTGGGATTACAGGCTTGAGCCACCGCGCCCGGCCCCAGCACTTCTTTTAGACGAAACTATTCTTTCCCTCTTTGAATGGTCTTGGCACCTTTGTCAAGGATCAATTGGCCACAATTGAATGGGTATTAGTAGACATTTCTGACATAAAATAAGTCTTACAATTATAAAAATATTTGTTTATATCATATTTACAAAAGTATTTGCTTATATCATACTTAAATCTCTCAGCCTTCAGTTTAAGACATTTTCTCTTCTTGTAAACTATAACAATTATAACTACCCAAACTGACATTCAGCTAACATTTATAGACAGCCTCCTAAATGAAAATAATGTACTTAATTCTGGGGGATAAAATATGAATAATATATAGTCTCTGCTTTACAGAAATATCACAACCCTGTGGGGGAGAAAAACATATGTGAAAATAACTATGCTTGTCTTTTACAAAGGCAGTAAGGAAAAAATGATTCATTTTGACCGTGAGTGTTGGGGAAGATGTCATGAAATGGAGAGTGTGCAGAAGTGTTACAACATGAAGTATCTCGGGTAATACAAAAAAATTTTTTCTGATGATTTTATTTTAAAATGCTAAAACATGTTATGTTAATTCTCACCTTAGATGCTATTTTAAAATGGCCAAGATGCTAAATATTGCAATTGTTTAATTGCAATAATTTAGCTGTATCCAGATTACAGTTATTTTATTGGTAGCTATGGAGTTAAATCTTTCAACATTTTCTCCTGGTTTGAGTATTTCAGAAAAAAAATGCTTCAGTATAGAAAGAGAAAATATTTGTAATAGTACATTTGTCTTGATGTTTGTGTTATGAGCACAAGAAAACAAAATTTAGGTTTGTAGCATGTGATTTCCAAGTGACTGAGATGGAGATTTGCTTACATGTGATTTGTTGGAGAAGGCTCCTGAGGTTACCATCTGTGAAGGAGTGAGAAAAGCAGAATTCGGCAAAGGGAGGTACTGAACTGAAATGTAGTTATAGCAGAGGTATCAGCTGATCCCATGGAAAGCTCTAGAGCTGGGATAGCACTTCAGAGATATCCCAAATTGAGGCAGAGAGAGTGGATCTCTGTATGTTACATACATCACTCTTTGGATGTGTGGGCTATTCTTGGTAAGGGTGTGTAACCTTGGGCAAGGTGACTGCTTTAGGCTGAGGGCAGTTCCTGGAGACAGACTTGGCTGTGAGGTGTCAGCAGGTAAGTGTGATGGCTTATGCCCGTAAGGCAAGCTACTTGGGAGGCTAAGGCAGGAGGATCACTTGAGCCCAAGAGTTCAAGGCTGCACTGAGCTATGATAGCACCACTGTACTTGAGCCTGGGTGGGAGAATAAGGCCCTGTCTCTAATTTTTTTTTATTAAAAAAATAAAAATAACCATTTCTTCCACCTAGAAAATAATTATCTTGGTCTTGAATGGGAGTCTGAGCCATACATGACAGCATTCACTACATCCAGTATAGGCATAGCTATATACTATGGCACCCACTAAAGACAGTATTAATACGATGGCCATTTTAGATGAGGAGAATGAGACTTAGTAGTTAACTGTCTGCCCAAAGTCCTACATCTATGACTGGCAGAGTTAGTACCAAAACTGAGGTTTTTACATTCCAAGCCAAATTGTGTTTAAGCAACATTATTATCCCTCAAAATGCACAGTACCATTTCATCTAAAAAACATTTAAATCCGGGTGAACTTCAGTCAGTTCGATTTCACAACTCACACATGGGATTCCCCCTTTTCCTTCCAAAACAAAATTCAGTTCTCAACTTGCCTGTGTCGAGGAATTCTTCTGAACCTCCAGTCCTGAAAACGAGGTAGTCTTGTTTCACACGCAAATGTATGCACTTATGCAAACTTTAAAAGAAGCATATAGGATGAAAGAGGAATATTTTTGGAATTATTATTAAATTAATGGAACAACACAACATCCAGACATCTGTGCCATTTTCAGGCTACAGTATAGGGAAAAATATATGTGTGTGTGCGTGTATGTGAATGTGTGTGTTAACAAAGGAAGATATGCATGAAGATTGGGGGAGAGATTCACAAAGTGGTCATAATGTCAGCTTGAGGCAAGAAGTAATTGACCGGAAAGCCAGAAAGAATCAAGCCTTTTCAAGCAATGTTCCCTGTATTTCTGACATGCTGCCTTGAGAGCCAAGAGGAAAACAAGGCAAGTCTCTACCTCCAAGGGCCTGAAAATCAGTTCCTAGCTGCTTGAGTTGCAGCTCCTGAGAATCTGTCATGTTGGAATTTAGAAGATGATTGCATTGTACTTGCAATCAGTATCCAAGCACAGTGGAAGACAGTAGGAAACGGAGCCCAAGGGTGAGGATTTAAAGGAGGGTTTGGGTCTTTACTTCACCACTTCTTAGGTGTATGACTGGGACAAGGGTGGTATCACTTGAAAAAACTAAGATTTCTTTTTTTGTTGTTTCATTAATGTAGAAAGTTTATTTTGCCAAGGTTGAGGACATGTGCCCATGACACAGCCTAAAGAGGTCCTGGTGGTATGTGCCCAATGCGGTCAGAGCACATTTGGTTTTAGACATTCTGGGGAGATATGAGACATCCATCAACATATGCAAGATAAACGTTGGTTTAGCTTGGAAAGGCAGGATAACTCAAAGCAAAGGTGGGAAGGCTCAAAGCAGAGAGGGGGCTTCCAGGTCATAGGTAGGTAAGGAGACAGGTGACATCAAACAACATATGTAAGATGAACATCAGTTCAGTCTGGAAAGGCAGGACAAGTTGAAGCATTCCAGGTCATAGGTAGNTTCCAGGTCATAGGTAGTTAAGAGACAAATGGTTGCATCCTTCTGAGTTTCTGATTAGCTTCTCCAAAGGGGGCAATCAGATATGCATTTAACTCAATGAGCAGAGTGGTGACTATGAAAACTAAAATTTCTCTTCTGTAAATGGAATGATTATGCCAATTTCATAAGGTTATTATAATTATAACATTGATGTGATATATATTAATATCCTCATACTAAGCCCTTATGGTATGACTGATTTAGTGCTCTGTTAGCTCTAGGGTATATTTTATTTGTGAATGTGTGTGCGTGTTCACTGAACCTAAAAAGATTGTAATATATTATGATAGCATTTTAGAGCAACAATGTGCAAAGAAACTTTTTTGGGGTTGGGAATGTTCTTTATCTCTATGTCTAATATGGTAGGCAGTAGACACATGGGACTATTGAACACTTGAAATGTGATTAGTGTGACCTAGGAACTGAATTTTGAGTTAATTTAAATTCATTTAAGTGTAAGTTTAGATAGAAGCATGTAGTAGCAGCTACCACAATGGAGTATTCAAGATGGAAGTTATCTTAGATATTATCTAATCCAAAGTGATCATTAACAGGGGAGAATGTACATATTTCAGAGAGATGTGAAGTAACACGCTCAGAGTTTCACAATCACTGACAGGGCAGAGCCAACATTTGATCAAGCTCCAGGATTTTAGATCCAAGGCATCACATTGCCACACGGCGTAACAAAGTTAATAACTTAAAGATACTGGAAAGTTCACAGCAGATGCAGGGCTAAAGTTATAATTATCATCAGTACCATAATCATATGAACTCTCAATTTCTGAGCATCTACTCTGTATATAGTAGAGAACAGCCAAGACTGTTGTCTTGACCTCTGTACTAAAATGCCTCCTTGCCAAGACCGTAAAAGCTTTACTGACATGGCAGGCCCCTGTATCTCTGTAGGATTTCCCACTCATCATCCCAGCATGTGAATCTTACCAAGGCCTCCAGTGTGCTGGTCATTTCTTGCTCATCTGGTCTGATTAGCATAATGTCATCAATATCATGAATCAGTGTGTGATTCTGTGAACTGTCTAGGTGGTCCAGATCTCCTCAGACAGGACAGAGGGTGAGGGAGTTAACATAGCCCTTGAGCAAAATGGTGAATTTATTTTGCTAACCTTTCAAGACAAGCAAACTGTTTCTAACCCCCTTTTCTAATAAGATAGGAGCAGAACACGCTCCTCAGGACAATGGCCACATACCATCTCCAGGACCCATGTTAATCTGCTCTAGCACAGCTGCCACATTCTGCACAGTGGCTGCAAATTGGGCTGCCACTGGTTGAGTTTGTAGTAGTTCACTGTTAACCTCCAGGATCTTTCTGTTTTGTGCAAAAGACAGACTGGTAAGTAAATAGAGAAAAGATGGGGACCCCTTTTTAATGTAGAGCTTGGTAACATTTCTTGTAAAGTGCTAGGTAGTAAATATTTTAGCTTTTGTGAGCCAAGCAGCAAAATTGAGATCATTATGTAGGTATCTACATCATCATTAAAATGCAACCATTCAAAAGTGTAAATCTCACAGGTAGCATGCCAGGGTGGTCTAGTTTGCTGACCCCTCATTTAATTCCTTAAGTCTCTAAAAGTTGCACTGGTTTCTGCTGAGCTCTTCAAGATGATATATTCATTTTGATTTATTATCTTGTCCACGAGGGCAGTTTCAGAGGCTTCCACCTGTCCTTCCCTACTTCGGAGGCTCTTGTCTCATAAGTAAAGGACCCACCACGAGAATTTGGGCTAAATACCCAGTAGAGCTATTCCATTAATACATTCAGGGACTGGAGAAATGACCAAGGTGTCAGGCCATTCTTGCATTGCTATAAAGAAATGCTCGAGACTGTAAATTTATAAAGAAAAGTGATTTGACTGGTTTATGGTTCTACAGGCTGTACAAGCATGGCACCAACATCTGCTTGACTTCCTGTGAGGGCCTCGGGAACCTTATAATCATGATGGAAGGCAGAGGGGAAGCAGGTGTGTTACATGGCCAGAGCAGGAGCAAGACAAGGAGAGGAAGGAGGTGACACACACTTTTAAACAGTCAGATCTTGAGAGAATTCACTATCACGAGGACAGCACCAAGCCACAACGGATCCACCCCATGACCTACACACCTCCCACCAGGCCCCCACGTCCAACACTGGGGATTACATTTCAACATGAGACCTGGGCAGGGACAAATATCCAAATCGTATTAACCGACCAGAGATGCTGAAGATGTCAGTGAACCCTTTGTTACCTGAATTTGAGCCAGGACCATACCGGTTTCCCAGTCCCCTTTTGCTCTCATTCTAATGGCGGAGGCAATGAGTCTGCTTCAGATGTGTGGATGATCTATGTCAGCTCAGACTCTATGTCCAACAATCCTCAAAACGTGCGGGGATTCCCTTTTCTCCTTTATACAGCGCCTGAGTAAATGGCAATAGGCTCCTCTGAGGAAGAACTGGGGGAATCATTACTGTGTACACTTGTAATGGTGTTACAGCATCTTCCGTCCTGGGGATCCCGCCTCTTCCTCAATCTATAGGTTCCAGGGTCCCAAACTGGCTCAGATCAGAAAACTACGCAAGGGACCATGACTTTTTTTTTTTTGAGACAGAGTCTCACTCCAGCACCAGGCGCCAGGCTGGAGTACAGTGGCACGACCTTGGCTCACTGCAACCCCTGCCTTCTGGGTTCAAGCAATTCTCCTGCCTCAGCC